GTCTGAAGGATTTATGGTGAACAGGAGTCATGAATATCAGACTTGAGGATAAGGAAATAGCAACAATAATAATAACCATAATAATTACAATAGTCCTAAGCCATGGGCTCTGTGCCACTGATAAAGAGGAGGAGGAGGAGGGGGGAGGGGGAGGGGAAGGGGGGGAGGAGAAGTAGTAGTATAGGCCAGATCTTTCTGGGGTGAAGTTGAGTAGCAGAGTACAAAATAGCTAACCCCCACCCTGCTCAGAATCACACCAGGAGCCCCAAGACTAGCAGGCACTTCCCTTGAAAACATAGAATTTGGACAAGACAAAGGGGCCGGGAGTGGACTCTGAGTCCCTAGGGGATAGAGGGTAAAAGCTGTGGGGAGAGTCTTGGCAGAAGTCAACTGCCAATTTTCTGCCACTGTCTCCACATTCTAAGAGGCTCTCAAGCCAGGGGTCAGGAGACTCCTCAGCTACTTGGTAGTCCTCTGGCTATCAGTAGGATCACATAGATGTGGGGGCAGATGGCACAGAGTTGGTGGTTTGGAGCAGGCAGGTAAGTGAGTGGTTACCTAGGTTTGGGTGGAGGGGTAGTGAGTGTGTTAGAGTTAAGGCTATAGAAGCAAAAGTCCAGCAAGGTCCCAGCAATTTGGGACCATTCTCTATTCCTTAGGCAACATCTTCTGAGTCCAGAAAGTTGACTGGGGGCACCTTGACCATTTGCTGGTTAGAGGGCAAGGGAGTGTGAAATATTTCGAGGTCTGAGACTGCAGCAGAATGAGGGTGTTCAGTGGACTTGTGGCCATTGCACAGGTAGGGCAGGAAAAGGTCCCCAATCTGGTATTGACCAGTGCCCTGGTCCTGCTCAGTTCCCCACAGCAATAGTTGGATTGCTCTCAAGGACTGGGCACTACTTTAGTCCTGCCATCCCACCAGGACCGAGAAATAGCACACTTGAATGAACCTGAGGACAAAGTCTCCCAAGACAGCCTCTGATCTGTGGACTGGGCTGGAGTCTGATTTCCCGCCAACAGAAATGAACGCTATTAGTGAGGTTTCAGTGGAGTCCGTCATTGAACGCTTCCAGACAAGGCTTCCCTTTGTTTGCAAAAGAAAATAAAGCATGCATTCACATCCCCCAAGTTAGGGTGCATAAGGAGCTCTGCCAGGGATCTCGCACCACCAGCAAAGCCTCTTCTACCGCCTTCCCCTCCTCCTCCCTCTAGTCTATTTTCCATCATCACCCCCTTAAGAAAAGCACCATACAAAAGAAAAAAGATTGTGCGGAGATGGAGTATGTATTTGTTTTACAAAAATAAATCACCATCTTTGGGCCATTTGTAGACTGGAACATTTCGAGCTATGAGTGCATCTCATGGACGAGTGCCCCGGCGACAACTCCGTGTCCGCTTCACCCCGGGGCCACCCTGGCTCCCGCACAGGACACATTTCTAATTCCCGACCTTCCTTCATAGCCACCGGTCACCGTCTGCTGTTTATTTGTCCGCAGAGTGCCTGGACACCGCAAAAAAACATCCCTTGAGTGCCCGGAGTCGGAGACCTCTCCTGGTTCAGATTTAAACATCTTTGGAGGTAAGTGCTGCGCCAAACCGCTCCAGTCTGGGACTGGAGGTTGGGAAGAGTTTACTGCCTCAGTTCCTGGCAAGTAGAGCTGGTTGAAAGAGATTCTAGTCAATATTTAACTTTGGAAGAGTTTTAAGCTGGATTCCCTTCAGCTGCTCACCCGGACCATGTGGGCATCAGGCAGACAAAGAATAGGCTCCAAGGCCCAGGGTAGACAGGAGAAGAGGTTGCAGAAGCAAAAGATGAGGTAGGAAGAGCCAGAGGGGATGTTTGCTTCTTCCTGCAAGCCTCAAACAGACCACTATATTGAACTGCAAATCAAAAGTTAGTAGAGGCCATGGACAGCCAGGGGCTCTGCCCTCGCCCATTGAAGCAACTGTGGACATTGTAAGTTTGAAAATGATTCCTTTTAAGTTCCTAAATGGTTGGCCAGTCCCAGCTGTAGGCTAAGGAAACTTGTCTCCACTGCCTTACATGTTCTACGATCTGTCTGCCTTTCCTTGGTTGGAGAGAAGTTATAGTATTTCCAGTGTGTAGGCCCTTGGAAGGCAGTCTTCTCCAGTCTTTTATCAGAACAGATCCACTGTTCTTCCACAGGAAAAGCTCAGATCTTCTATGTTTGAACATTTTCTTTTCCTATTTGGAGCAAGGAAAACCTCTTTAAAATTCTTTTCAAGTTCTGGCTTAATTTGTTCTCTTAGTTTGAGATGCAGGGAGGTAATTACTGTGGTTTATTACCTTGTAAAAGATCCATAAATTACGTGCCTATTTGGGGGAGGGGCTACTGGAATAGCTTTCAGAAGCTCTGTATGAAGGAATGAGTTTGCTTTGTTCTTTTAGGGATTACATTTTTTTTTTTTTTCTGGTGCTGGGAATGGAACCAAGACCTCGTCATGCTAGGGAAGCACTCTACCATTGAGTTATTATGTATCCCCAACCCTGGCATTACTTCTTTAAAAAAAAAAGTTTTCAGATTTTGTTTTCTGTTCTCTAGGCCCAAATCTCTAAAAATTGTTCCCCAGATAGATATCAGATTGTTAATTAATTCCAACGTGCTGCTCAGTGGTGCTTTAAGACTGGGATACAGTTTAGGATACAGTTATTTTATCAGATAGGAAGTAAACGGTAATACTAACAGTTACTTTTTCAGCTACTGTGTGTCTTGTTATAGCAAGCATAGAGAGTACATTTCAGGAACTTGCAACTCAGTGTGCATACATAATTTGCATCCCAGCAAACAACAGAACAATTGTAGATATAAATAACCGCAGGAATTTGGGACATGTGTCTTACATGATATACACATCCACATGTGTCTACAAAGTTTGGAGCCCATTTGTACTACAGTTGTACCCATAGGAAATATCTCATGTTAAATAATGATCTAGCATCTAAGTAAAGTTTTGATAGAGAAATCAGATTGCAGTATTTGAGTACAGATATATCTAATCTGCCAACAGCCTGGCAAATATTGACTAATGGTCATGCTTGATCACCTGCTCCTTCCAAGCCAACCTTCCCCAGGTTGGTTCTGGTGGCCTGGCTCACAGCATGGGTCCCCAGCCCTAGCGAGAGTGGAGACTGGTGGAAGTGTGTAGAAGGGGTGCTGGTGCTGGATTTTTTCCCCCCATAGCTTTGCTTCAGGAAAGTGGATTTCAAAGTGGTACAGGAAGACACTCAGCTGTCAAGTCCCTGGGTGGGTTGTCCAACCTAATTGCACTCTTAGGGAAGCTGTGTTTTGACTGGAAAGTTAAATTTTCTTTGACTTCCTCAGATTTTTTTTTCCCTTTTTTATCCCACCAAATCACCCAGGCCAAGTCCTTAATGTTAATTGTTAAACAGCAGTTGGAGCATTAACTGGGATGTTAGTAGCATGCTGCTCCAGCCTGGAACTGAGATGCCTCTGGGCCTCACTGAAATTAAGGCACTTCTCTGAGGCAGCACCAGAGACTTCTACTCTTGATTTATGGTCTCAAGAGTTGCAGTTTGCTTGAAACTGTTCTGAGAGTTCTGAAGGGGCCTCTTCTCAAAATCTTTGAGTTGATGCCTCTGCAGAAACTTAGGGGAAGGGAGTTGTCAGCAACTGGACATATTTCCAGGTCGATTCCTAAGGAATCTGGAGAGCTCAATGTGTATGACTGGCACTAGGGGACAAGCCCCCTATGGGCAGAGGACACTAAGATGAGTGCATTGAGCCCTACAGAGGCAGAAGAATATAGTTTGGAAGTGAGTTCCTCCTCATCTCTCAAACCTGAGGCAGGCAGGGTTTTTCGACTTTGGATTCTCACTTTCCAGCAAGTGGCTTAGGTCAGGGCTGGGAAAATTCACATATAGGTCTCTTTCTAGCTACTCCATAGGCAGAACCTTGGGATAACACTGCCTCTAGCTTAGGCCAGTGTTAAATTCCAAGGGTTAAGTTTCCTCTTTTATTGCCCTTCTCATTTGAACACCCCCTTCATGATAAGGTCCCTTTACTTAGAACCTCATCTTCTCAATCAGACCCTTTCTGTTCCCCTTTTGGAGAGAGGGGATGAGAAGACTCAGGCAGGGCCTTCCACAGCTGCCACAAGTGAGTCCCCTCACACTTAGACATAGCTAGCTGAAGACTTACTTTCCAGGAATAAAAGACTAGGACTTTGCTCAGAGCACTCAAAGTTCAGAAACTAAGACTAGAAAAGAGGCACTTTTTAGAATGCTTGTGAAAAAGTAAAGTGCCAAAATGAGTGGACAATGTCACCAAGCAGAAGGCAAGAATAGGGTGGGGGCTGGGAGGACAGCTTATTAGTTTCAGCCAGGTTCTTTCTTAGCAGAACTGGTTCAGTTCAGTTTCATCTAGTACACAAGTCTTGGGGGTAGTAGACAGAGCTGTCCCAGAGAGGATGCCAGGTTTTCTCCCAGGTTTGCCTTTTGGGACTCCTCACAAAGGAAATTGGTAATTCCTCCCCCCTCTTCCAAAGGCAATTAGACTATTTTCTCTTACACTTTTCATCTTTAGAAGCATTTAATTTCATATATCACTCAACTGTACACCAAGGAAATACACAAGTATAGGTTTGACAGGGCATTAGGTCTTTTTAGAATTTGCAAAATCTTGACCCACAGCCCTGTTAGTAAGCACATCTTTCCTAGTGGGCTGCCATTGAACAAAACCAGCTGGACTTGGAGGGGAAACATTAATGTTTTGTCAGGTAATTACAGGCCTTTTTGGTTTCTCCAGTGGCTGTGGTGTACAGCGTAGGTGTTAGCAAACTCCATACAATTGCAGGCCATAAAGAAATCTGCTGACTGGCCAGTCATTTCTGGGCTTGGCTCTTGCCTTTTGATATGCTAGTCAGTGTGCCAGAGGATCCTGGGGTGGTGGGGGCTGGAGAGGGGACTGGGTATGCTGAATTCAACTTGTTGGTGAAGGGGGGACCATGAGGAAAGTTAAGTGAACTCTAAAAAGACAGACAACATTGCTGTTCCCTTGTTTGGAGTGTGTGTAAAGAAATATAAGTGGAGATAAGCACCTTTGTGTGGCATGCATGTGTGTGGGTGCCCCCCCCATCGTCCTACTGGTAAGACAAAACTCTTACTGGTGAAGGTCCCCCACATCTAAATGTTCTGCTTGGAAACCTAGTTCCTTCAGTGATTTCCTATTTCAAATAAAAGGATTTAAGTTGACGTATGACCACGTGAGCACATAATACTGCACATTATTGTGGTATTTGGAGCAGAGATCCAGGCAGGCTTTGCCTGTGATTACGTTTTCTAGATTCTCTACAGAGCCAGAGCTTTTTCCCCCACCCCCACGCACCCACCTCCTCCTTCTCCTTCCCCTTCTCCGGAGAGCGCTCTTCCAGCGGGTTGCAGTTTTCAGCGTTCATGGAGCAGTTCTGGCAAAGCTAGCCGATGAGACTCCAGGCCACACCAGGAGGATGGAATTTATTTTAAGGTATTTCCGCTGATTGTTCATATCTAGAGTGAGTTATGGCTGAGAGAGACAAAGGTCAGGCGAGGAGACACTGGATCATGGATTGGACCCCCAGTCTCTTCTCTTCCTTTGTTTCTCTTTAGAACGGAAAGCATTTGAAAGATTCCCAGTAGTGCCTCAGACTCTGAATTTAATTCCCTGAAAAGTGTTAGGGGGCATAAAGGAGAGGGCACTTGGGGGCTAATGGGTGCATCCAGTAATCTCCAGAGTAAGAGTGGCTTTGTCCCACTGCCACAGGCAAGGCTGAAGTTCCAGGAGCTGAGCCCCAGGCAGAAGGAGGACCATGAAGCCCAAGCATGGGAGGAGGCTGGAGGCTGTGGTCAGGAGGAGGTAGCCAGCAAGAAGCTAGAAGGGCCAGACCTTATGGAAGGGGTGAGGGCCGTGGCTGGGAAGGAGAGTCTCAAGTTGGCTGGTATTTGCTGAACAGGATAGAGGGTTAGGGCTGACCTGGGCAACCTGAGCAGATGGAAGAGGAAAATCGATGAAGGAAATGTGCAGATGTGCTGCCATTTTATTGATGATGCTTCCAGCCACTTTATTCAATGCTGGGTTGCAGGGCACATTTCCCCGTGCCTATTCGAGGAGCTGAACTGGAGGGCATGCCATTGTTTCCCTGAGCACTATCTGCCTGGGAAGGATGGAGAATCACCTACTCTTGGGGTGCTGTTAAGTGTGCCAGTCACCTAGAGGCTGGGTTGGACTATATCCAGAAGAGAGCTGGGGTTGTGTTTGGGCTTTCATTAGTGTTTTTGGTCTGGGTGCTTTCTGTACACCCCTAAGACAGCCTGGAGAGTTGGAGAACTATCTGGCCTGTGTGCCCCAGATTGGAAGGAATTCTGGAAGTATAATTTTCAGGAAGCAGAGGTAGACATTTCTCTGACTTTATATTCCCATAAAGGGAGCTCTTGCCAGGATGGAGGCCGATGAGAATTAAGCAGTGTGCTTCCAAAATACTGACAAAACTGGGGCTAATTGGGCTTTGGGGTCTTCTGCTTCTGGGAAAAGTGTTACATCTTTGGAAAGGTGAAAGAAATTG